TGGTTTTGCCCTTGTTTTTGAACTATCTTAATGTTTGAAATTTGACAGCAGTAGTAAATCTCTTCCATAGGTTCAGAGCCTTCTAAAGGAACATGGTAATTTGGTAATTAAAATCAGAAATATACTCAAATCTTGATATTTAGAAAAGGGATATATTTTAACATGGTGGGTTTGGGTTAGCCCCAGCAGGCAGCTCAGCCCCACACAGCTGCTAGCTCACACTTCCCCACTGGGATGGGGAAGAAAATCAGAAGCGTAAAATAGTGAGAGAAATCATGGGTTGAGGTAAAGACCAGTATAATGGCTTATTAGTCAACTTCCTGAGCTGGATTTTACTTTGGTGATGATAGCCAGCTTGTTAAGACATGCGGTTGGAATTCTTAGCCAGAAGCATGGCATCTGGCAGGTGGATTCCTCTACACAGTCAATGAAGAAATTACCATAAGGCATCAGAGAAGCAGGTTCTAAATTAATGGTTATAAGCCATTAATTCCCTGCAATTGTTTTGGATAGGGAAAATAGTTCAAATGAGAAGATGACAATAAGTGGGGAAAAAAAGTCTTAACTTGAAAGAGAGAAGGAACCAGGTTTTCTGGAGCTTGGCAAAAAGAGACAATGTTGTCTGTGTGTAAGTAAATTTGGTAATTTAAGAAGTGACAAAAATCCTTAATCCTGGAGGAATCAATACTGAGCTCAGTACTCAATACAGAGCTGAGACAAGAAGGATGGGGAAAAGGAAGCAAGTACATGTGAGCTTTAGTGCAGCCAACTGCTGCAACCTAGCTCACGAGAGGATTGGTCTGCGGCAATGGTGTTTGGAAGAAGCCGGGTTATCTAGGGTACCAGATTAATTTTATGGCAGCCACCCACTCTGGACCTCTAGTGGCACAAAGTTTGTAGCAGAATTCCTGTAGATTGTTTACAGATTCAGTTGGTGGATCTACATATCATTAATTTTGGCCATCTCTCTTCTAACTAGTAAATGAGCATAGCTCTCTTAAAACATGCAGGGCTAGTTAGCCAGAAATTGTTGAGTGACATAGATTGGGGACTGAGGTCTGCAGCTCATGCGCACGCGCTCTCTCTCTCTCAATACGTGACACATTGTGCTTTAAGAAACAAACAAGTTATTTAATTGTGCAAATTGCATAGATTTTTGTTTTTTAAAAATTCCTTATTACACTTCAGAATTTCTAAGCATACAGAAAATGCCCCATGTGACAATTTTTAATTTTTTTTTTCTTTTTAAGGCTTAACTCACATATTTACATCTTTTCCATTTCTCTCTATGTATAATACATAGCTGTGGATCAGCTGCATCACAGGGTTTTTGTGGTTTTGGGGTTTGTTTTTTTTTTTTATTTTGAACCTATGCTTAATTGAAAGAATATAATGGCTTCACTTCGAAATCCCTATTCCACTCATCTAGGGCTTAATTTAAACAGGCTTTTGATAATTAGTATTTACAACAATCAACTTTGAAGACTTCAAACAAGGCTGATCATAAGGGAAAAGTTCTGCTCTGGTTCATGTCTATATTCTTACTTTTGGAAGTAATATTTAAAAAATATCTTTCCACAAGGCACGCTCCATTGAAGTACAATACATCATCTTGGGCTCAACCTTACTGAGACTACACACACCAACTTTATTGCAAGATATTGCACTAAGGTAGCACAAAATTTGGCAAAACACACTTAAAAAGGCTTTATACCTGCAGACCAGACAGTAGTACTGAATTATTCTGAAGTCAGAGCACTACCTATAGTATGAAGGCATAAGTAAAACAAAGTTCAGTTTCATTGGCTTTACAAGATTTAACATTTTCTATACCGTAAAATTAATAACATCAATCTATATCCAACATTTCACAGGCATCTTTGTTATTTGATGCCTGAATGTGAATACGTAATAGAACTGTGTCAATTGATGGAGTTGCCTGAGGAGTGCCAACACAATGTGCATAAATTTTATTATCTGGCATTTTGTGCTTGGAGGAGTACACAGTTTGGAAAGGACGCAGCAGCAATTAGTCAGGCTTAGCTTAGGCTGAACAGTATGAATTGCCCAGTGCGCTTCTGTATCTGCTGATGCTCCAAGTGATTAGACTACTATCTAAGTTTATGTTGGCACAGACAGGAATTGCTTATCACAAATGCAAATGAAAATTAAAAAGCTACAAAAACAAATATGTTAGTTTTTTGGGATTTTTTTGTGTGTGTGTGTGTGTGTGACTTAAAATGTATAAAAAGTCTGTAGCTATGGAAAAGTAATACCTCTCGGAGAGGATCCTTCTTCCTGTAATGTTCTTTGGTTTGATATGTCATTAGATTGGGCTCACATTTATCTTTTCTGGACAAGACTTGCCTCTGCCAGGTTCCTGATTTTAGCAGTATGTTACTAGAGTGCCCGATAACAGTATCACAGTTATAGCCATGTGTGCTTGCCTGCGTTCTCCCTGTTAAAGGTAATCATTGACTTTACAAGATAACTAAATATCAATCCATTCATGCATCTTAAAATAAGACACAGAATTGGGATTTTAAATTCAGAGCTGAATTTAGTTGAAAGACAATTTTTACCAAAAGTTGCTTCTGTGCTTGTGCTTTTATTTAAAAATGCATGATTCTGCTGAATAGCATTGAGGTGTTTTTGTAATATCTGCATTCAAGCCTAGGGTAATTTAGAGAAGGAGATTAATTTTTTGAGAAATGCTGAGATGAAAAATTACACAAGAAACTACTTTGGGTTACCAATTAATTACTTTAATACCATCTTCTAATCCCAAGACTTGTTACTGCTATCTAGCAAGTAGTCCCTCTGAAAGAGCTAGACAAGTCTACTGCTTTGTCAATCCTAATGATGTTTAACTTCTCAGCTTTTCCACTGCACATCTTTTATTATTTAATTAATGTGGATAAATACACTGAATGTACAAATAGCAATCACAGTGAGTGATGGGTGTAAGGCTAGCAGGTGTGCTTCTGAAACCAAAAGGGTTTTACTGTGCTGAAGAACTCTGTGTGCTGTTTCCAGAGCTGTGTGATCACTGATGGGGTTGGTAGCAGAGTAGTTGTTATTACATGATTCTTGCTTTTACTTTCTCACACAAAACCCATCTTTTTTAAAAACCAGTACAAAATCAAATATGTACAAATAATTGTTTAAAGTTTCTGTAAGTGTTTTATGTAGCCTATCATATACATGCCACCCTTCTTTTTCCTTCACATAGAAGTAAACTGTGATCTTTAAAGCACAGTAGATAAATAACATGGGCTTCTTTTTTTCCCCCTCCATTGTATGAAGACTTTGTAAAGAATCCTCTTCTTAAATATGTTGAAGATTAAATTTGAGATTCCATGTATTATAAGGACTAACTACCAAATACAGTATATTTAGTGTAGTATAAGAAGGAGGAACTAGAAAATTGCCTAGATATGAGATTTTGAGGGGATAGAAAACTCTCACAAAGGAAGTAGTAGTCTGTTTTTTCTGGGCTTGTATGCTAGCCAAACTTCTAAGAAATGTCTTATAATAAATAGTCCACTGTTAAGTGGATCTATTGGCTAGTGCTCTTCTCTAGTTTCTATTAAACTATATTATTCTATATTTCTATTTCTAGTTTCTCTTCTAGTGCTCTTCTAGTTTCTATTAAAAATAAGTATTAAAATAGCTTTTAAAAGCTTACCCGTATTAGATGATCTTAGTATGACAATTTGTAGTTTGTTTTATTGTTTCAGTTAGTTTTGGTTTGTTTTTTTTTTAAACTGTATTAATGACTCATTACTTGCATTCATTTTCCTTCTGTGCCTAGCTGTAGGATAACATTTACTTTACCTTAATTTTTTTGGTCCAACTTTCTCCTATGACAAAAATGAAACAAAAATCTAAGCAGACCACTGGCTGAGAGAAGTAGTTATGAGATAGATCTGGTGGGTTTTTTTCTGGAAAAGAGGACTTGTTGCATGAGTCTGTAGGATCAGTGACTAAAACACCATACCACATTATTGGTGGGCAAATTCAGGTTACTAGCTTTCTGGTAGCAGTTTCCTGAGGTTGCAAATATATTCAGTTCTGGCTCGGTTTACTTTTCAGGATCATACAAATTCCTGTAGTAGTTTGACTTCTTGCATTCTGCTAAAATCTGTACCTGCTCCTTCTTGAGAGTGACGTTCCCCTTGGACTGCGTTCAGGACCTCAAAGCTAATAGCAACCCTCGCATGGAAGAGAGTTAGGTGCTGGGATGTGACAGTTTGGTCATAGCTGGAATTATGGGGATCTGCAAAGTTAAGAGCTAAAGAGGAAAAATTTGGTACCAGGGTCTTTTCCCAGATTAATCAGAAAATAGATTCCTAGAATTAAACTTTCACAAAACAAATATATAATTTAGCTAATTTTTCCTCTGCTATTGTAGTAAATCTTCAGCTGTATCCCTCACTACTAACATATGGGATAGTTGCTACAATAATTATCTTAAATAATCTCTTGCCTTAGTAGGAACTTCTTAAAAGCTGTTTAAAACTTGAGCCTTGTCATACAGAAATAGTGAAGGGCAATACACTTAACAAAATTTTGGGGAAAAACCAAATCACACTGGAAAGCGCACTAGATCCTTAATAACTTTTTACATGTTAAAAACTCCTGTTTTGGCATAAATTTTTCACTTCAGAATTTTGCTACCTCATTATGGGTGGAGGATGTCTCCTAGCACTGAAGGATAAAATAGCATGTGAATCTTGCCAACAGCTGCAGTTTGTCTTCAGAGAGGGAATAAAATGTTGCATCACTTGATATTCCACTGTCTTGCATGCTATTCCTGTTCTAAGCCAGGATGGAAAAACTTAGTCTGTAATTTTACATTTGGGATAATGTTGATGTATGCGCCAAACTTAGGGCGAGTGTGTTTGAGTGCCTAATTATTATTTTATAGTCTTTTTTGATAGCCCATTTCAGTGTTTAGAGATGGACTTTCAGTACTATTCTCTGTCTGCAATTTATAGACGATCTGCTGTAGCCCGCATTCAGGAGCTCTTCAGAAGGAGGAAAGAAAGAAAAGAAATGGAAGAACTGGAAACGCTGAATATTAGACGTCCTTTAATAAAGATGGTTTATAAAGGTCATCGGAACTCCCGAACTATGGTACAAACTCTTTGTCTGTTTTGGGAACTGCACAGCTTTTATGGACTGAATCAGTGTAGCTGCCACATTGACATGTTTGCCAAAAAGGATATTGTAATGTGTTGTTAGAACTTTTTCTTGTAGATTCAGTTGGAAGCCATATGATTTGCTCTAAATCAAAACTAAAATTAGTGTGACTCGTGTCACCGTGTTAAGCATTTGCGTTTTCTTGAGTTTAAGACTCTCTCCCCTTAACTCCCTTTGAAATCTTGGGTATTTTTCTTAACGTCTTTTTCATTTTTTCTGTCAGCTTAAGTGGTATAAAATGTGCCTACCTTCAAAATTATGATTTAATCCTCACTCTCCCTTCCAAGCTCTTTAAAGGTAAAGATTAAATAGTAATTTTGAAGATCTCGGAAGGGAAAGTGAGGATTAAATCATTTTTTGAAGAGTTTTGACATCTCTGAATTAAAAAAAGGAAATAATGCTAGTTATTAAATCGTAATGTAACTACTAGATACTCTGTCTTTTTCATACAAAATACTGTATTTTAAGAAAAATACAGTTACTGTGTTCGTAAAGCAGCGGTGCATGAGAAACACATGCTATTTTTCTTGCTATTTCTTTTTTGGCTTTTTACCATGTTATGACGACGTGAATTTCTGAGTACTAGGCGGTATTCTGTAGGAGTAGCAGGTGTATTATTTTGCAGATGATCTGAGGACCAGACCCTCTGTCTCCAAAAGCAATTTTCTAGAGTTTGTGTGAATGGCTTTGATTACACTGGAGGAAAATGCTTCAGTAAATGCACATTTCAGTCTACATAAGCAACAAGACTTAGAACAAAATTTGAGTAATGACAGGGAGTTTTGCACTGTATTTCAGAAATTAATTTTAATTGCCCAAAAGCTCATTAGTCTAAAAGTCATCACATCCAGCACTTCGTAGTTAGGCAAGCTTAGTTTTAGTATTGCCTAAGTGGTCTTAATTCAGTCTCCATCTGCGTGTGTGGTGTTATACAGATTATTTCACAGATTTTGTTGTTTGGTTTCTCTGGGATGTGGGTTGGTGTTTTTGCCTTTGTTTCACATGAGCACCTATGGTGGGGAATGCATACAATGGAAGATGATGTAATTTTCCCTGTTGATTTCTGTGGTGGCAAAGTTCATTTGAATTTTTTTTTTATCAATAACCTCTTTCCTGCAAGGCGAGGGCTAATGGTATTTCTCTTTTGTGAAGGAGACAGCATAGAGAGGTCTTGTTTCCTACACACCTGAGCAGCACAAGGATAAAGTTGTCTTGTCAATAACATGAACTATTTTAATACACATACTTACACACACACATATATATACACACATATAGATATAGATATGAGAGTGAATTAAGGTTATGCAGGCAAAATAAATAATTCTGGTACTCCATTACTTTTGAGAACTTGATTTGGCAATCTTACAATTTTTTTAATAAGCATATTTTAAGTGTGAATCTTGTATTGTCAGAAAGCAGAAGATAAGTAGCATTATATTCATGTTTCCTTGCACTATTGGCAGGGTTGGAACGTTTTTAGGTCCAGCACCCACATCCCTGCCACGTAACCACTCGAATGATGTCATTACTGTGTGTTACCGTTTTTTCATTAAACAAACCTGAAAGTATGGCAGCAGGGGATATGATGGTAGTGGAATGATGGGGGGTGGGATTTCTCGTTTCTCTTTAGCTCTTGGAGGAAAAAAAAAATGCTTTTGTGAGCCCAAAATCCTTTTCCTTTTCTTCAAAATTTGCCTTTTGCCCTGTGTCTCTCCTGTGTCTTCCTCACCGTTTTTCCCTCCAGTCCTAGTCTTATCTCCTTTCATATATATGCCATTCTTCCTCTATTCCACTCACCCCAAGCCTCAAGTCCCCCTTTTAAAATACTGACTTCAAAGAAACCTTTCTTCAACAGAGCATGTGTGTACCTAATAAATGGGGTAAGTTGTATGTTCATACAGTAGAATTGAGTGTGTATACGAGTTTGAAAACAAAATTTTAAAATGTGAATTTCAATTCTGTTAATGTATGTGGTGCTAAAGTTAGGTTTTTATGAATATTAGAAATGTAAAATCAGCAGTTACATTAGAGAATACCAAGGAAGCAGGAAGGAGTCATAACTGAGAATTAAAATAGAAAGTTATTTATTATTGGTGATAATTCAGATGTATTTCTACCAGGGTAATGAAAAATATATATTAAGAGGAGCTATAAGACAAAAGCTGACAAAAGATTAATATATTTGAGACCCATCTTTCACTACAGAATCCAGGAATGTAGTTTCTCTGGCTTATTTTTAGACATTGGGATGACTTTATTGCACTGACTGCAATCATTGGTACATATTCTATAGACAAAGATGTAGCAAGCCTGAAATTTAAAACTGGACATACTCGTGCTGGAAATAAAGTACATATTTTTAACAGCAGTAAGGGTTCAGCTTACTAATATGATTCTTTACTAGGGTGATTTTTAGATCAAGATAGCTGGGGCAAAGCACAGAGCAAGACAATGTCTCTGTCCTTTTCCCTAGTGCGTTTTCTGAGAAAATTATGCAAAAAGAAAGGTAAGGGTGCAGGCACTGTCCCCTTTAGAGCTTTATTATGATGTGTTACTTGGAAAATAATTCCATAGTAGGATTCTCTGTAAATGGTCTCAAACTCAAAATTCTGTCCCTTATGCTGGAGATATTCTTAAATACCCAAAATTAGAAAATTATTTTATGCTAAACTTCAAACATTGGACATCGTCTGTGTGAACTCTGAAAGCTGCTGCATAGGAAGCTTCTGTTTACACAGGTATCTCGTTTGCCCCGTGTATGTCAATGTAAAGAGTTGCAGGAGGTACTGGTAACTGTTTAAAGCGTAATCTTGTGTGTAGGATTATATTTTTAACGTCCAGCCTCTTTTCTCTGGCACAAACATCTGACTGTCATTGAGCTTTCAGCTCACACCTTGTGACTGAGTTTTGACTGTTCTTGAAGTAATGTCTCTCCTCCCTCTGCCATCCCATCTAACCTCGCACCCTGCAGATGATGTAGGGCAGCGGTGGTGAAACACACTGCTGCCTAGCCTGTTCCTATTTTAAAAAGTTTAACAATGGTTATTTTGATGTCCTACTCTGAGTAAAATCAGAAGTGATTTCTGAAGAAGATTCTAATCATTAGTGAAGGGAGTGACCTTGTTTGCTCAGGGTAATTGTTTGGCTTTGTTTGGGTTACATCTTTTTAGGAAGGGAGGGCAAGAGAGGCCTTGGCATGGAAAGATTATTCACCATTTAACAAGCCCAATAGTTGCTTCTTGAAAAAAATATTCTAGGGTGGCTTTTTTTGGCTCAGAAATTGAATAAGCCACATTCTTTCAGGCTGTAATCATACGGGTATCTTGAATGTAACAGGTGTTGAATAATATCAACATTATATTTCAAGGAAATGGATATCTGATACTACTGCCACTTTTTCCTGGCCTGCAATTTCTCTGTCATATACGTGATCATTTTCATTGTAAGGCTACTCTCTTTCATAGGACAGACTGCTTCAGCTGCCTTCAGTTCCAAAACTCATGAGATTGCAGATCTGTGAAACACTCAAGGAGTCTGGGTTTTCCCACTGAATTAGTAAATACACAATAAATAATACAGCATTTACTACATGACCAATTATTTATAAATAAATAATGTTTAAGAAATAAAAATAGTATAGTCTAATATAAGTAATAAAGATATGAATCCATACAAAAATATAACTAATATGTATCAATTATTATCAGATAATACATTATTCTTATATTCCTATGACACTACCATGTTTTGGAGAGAGGGATGGGAACAAAGAGGAGAAAAAAGTTCAGATTTATCTACTCGCTTGTCTCCCAAAGACTTTTTCAAGTCAAGTACAGGTCAAGCTAGCTGACTTGTCATTGAGTGTATCTGCTATTTTCTTTAATTCTCAGAATCGGGGACAAGACAGTCTCATCATTTTGAGGGGAGAGATGGTCACTTCATTTGAAAAGTGTTCTCAGCACTGTTAGCAAATGTGTATCCAGAACAATGATGCTGATGATCCATGAATACTTATGGATCTTAAGGCATTGAAATACCTACTGAATTATAGCACTTCACACAAGGAGAGGGAGATAGGTGATGTAATAAACCATTATATAGTATACTAGCCTAAAGCATGATCATACTATTCCCTAAAACCTCCCTTTTCCTTTTACCCAGAGGTTGTTGTTGCTCTCTTCATCGCATGGAGGGAAGGGGCAGAGGCTGTACGTTGATGGCAGGGGAAGAGAGGCAAAATGCGACAGGAATCCTTTGCCGTCTCTGCTGAGACGGTCCCCCTGCCCCAAAGGAAGCCTTCCATCAGGTTAGCGCTGTCAGAGCTTCCCGGAGAAGCTGCCAGAAGAGAAAAGCCCAAGTGCATGCAGTCTGCGTCACCTCGCTGGCTGTGAGGCACTGCAACAAACCATACAGTTGCGGTGAGAGATGGCTGGTCTTCTGGAAGCCTTCTCAAGGACCTTGGATCTTTCTTCAATACCCTTCAGTCAGTAGCACATCCAGCCCAGTTGTGTTCCCTCACAGACAACTGCGTACACTTTAACTCACAATGCCGTTTGTGAATTGCCTCCTATCTTTTCTGGTTTATGAAAAATTCTTAATTTCTGCATCTTTCAAGTAAAAATAAAAATTATTACCATGTTATTCTCAGAGGTGTAGAGTTTCATCCTTCAAATGTACAGCTCTCCAATCAGAGAAGTCCTCCTTGGATGTTTTAATTGCAGCCAGTTATAATCCAGGGTCAAACTTCTGTGTTTATTGATAACATTATAGAGGAGTTAGCTGTAGGCCAAAAACAAACATCACCCAATTATAAGTGCTGACGAGTGATTTAAAAATCAATATAATTTGTGTGATGCTAGTCAGTCCATGAAAGTAAAATTCCATAAACTGTCTCAAGATGTTAGAATGACATTCAGTGTGTACAGTAGGCCCTCAGACAACTCACTGCCTTTGCAAGATAGGTTTTACCTTGCTCTCTAAATTTATACACAACATGCCCATTTAAAAAAAAAAAGTTCATGTTGGCAATGTATACATGTACTCTTTGCTGATAGCATGGCAACACTACCGATAGGTGACACATGTTAGCTGTATCACTTCAAACATTTTGCAAAGGTGCTCGAATACCTCAGCAAAGTAACAATAGGAACAACCATGTGGAATAGAATGTGTCATCACTATGTCAAGAAAACTGTGATGATACTGGTTCCACTTGCAGGGAGAGATGCTTCTACTTTCATCTACTCTTACCGTAATAGCTGAAGCTGAAGGGTTGCTTCTGCCTGCATCCCTTCTTTGTTCAGTGGCTTGTAACTTTAATTTTGGCCTTGGACTAAGAAGTCTTAGTTCTTATCTGATTCATTATAGAGGGGGGAGAAAAAATTCCTAAGTTTGATTTCATGACCCCTTTTAAGCTGTCAGACCCAATTAATTCTCACCCCCCAGTTTTCATAAGCTTCTGTCTTGTCTCCTCTTCCTCTGTAAATGGAAAATCCCCACCAGGGGTTAGCCTGTCATGCACTTGTAACTTACCGAACTCTTCCCAAAAACTGTTTCGCATACCCCTGTCTCCAGTATCATTCCTGTCACTTTGGAAAGTGACAAATCTGCTGTCATTTATTTCCAAACTGCTCAGTCTGCCCCAACTCCTCTCCTTTTTTCTGTTAGCAGCCACTTTGCTCTGGAGATCTACAACCTTCTGAATTTTCTTTTTTTTTAATATATAATCCTTCTTTAAATGTTTCCTTTAAATTTTCTTAAATGTTGTTTCTGCATATGCAGAGCTCTTACTTCAGAGGCAGTTGTTACTGCAGAAACGGGGCTATGCTCTTTGATGTGCTTTCCACTAGCTAGTCTCATAAAGTAATTCTTATTTTTGTGTTTACTGCAGATAAAGGAAGCTAATTTTTGGGGATCTAACTTTGTCATGAGTGGTTCAGACTGTGGCCATATTTTTATATGGGATCGACATACTGCTGAACATCTCATGCTCCTGGAAGCTGATAATCATGTGGTGAACTGTCTTCAACCTCATCCGTTTGACCCAAGTAAGATGATCATTTTTGACAGTCTGCATGTTCAGGTTATCTGTAGTAAAGCATTTTAAAGCTCAGTCTTAAATGCTTTGCTCAGTAGAGCATTGTAGTTATTAATGAACTATTGTTCATTTTTTCCCATATAAATTAGATAATACTGCTTTTAGTTTTGTCTTTTACTAAAGACCTTTGGCCCTTACACCCCTCCTTACTCAGTAACATCTTGGAATGAAAATATTACTGACATAGTATTTATAGAAAGTTAAGATGTAATAAGAATCTCTATTTTTTGCTCCCCTTGATACATTAAATGTTTTCCATGACACTAATGAGGGAAATACGGGGTCACTGAAATGCCAGCAGCACTTTGGGAATTGATATTGGAATCTGGTCTCCACTTGTCTCTGCTCAAAAAATTGAGTGAAGTGGGTGTCTCAGTCTCATTGGCTTTGTGAGATTAGAAGAATGAATAAAATTAATAGAAATTCCATTAATTTGTATTTAGGGGAAAATATTTCTAGAAAAAATGGACCAAAGTACAGAAGGAATCATGTGTCTCTGACATGTAGGTAGAAAATCTGAATCATTCTGCAGCTTCTGACACAGTCAAAGAAAGTATTTGTTACTTGTTTTTTCATAGCTTACATGGCTATAGAGTAACAGTCAGCTGTAACAAAACAAGCAAATAAAGTTGTTACGATAATAGCAGAAGAGGCTGGGGTTTTTTGGACAGTTTGTAGAAACATGGAATAACGCCCTACATTGGATAAGCCTTGCACTTTTAAATGCTTAATTGAAATTTTGTTCCTGTACCTGTTTGGAGTGTGTGGCTAGGTTGGACACTTCTTTTGGAAGCACTTTTCAAAATGCCCTGTAGGTTTACTGATTTCTTGATGGTGTGTGACTGTCTCCCTGTCGTAGTAAAAATGTAGTGAAGAGGTCATCTTCCTTGTAGGACAGTTAATCTTGTACATTTTTCCAGTTACTGAGACCGTTCTATGGAATTTTTATTCCTGTAGTGGTTCTGATGATCTAGAGATCTAGATCTCTGATGATCTAGAGAATGTTCTACAACTTTTCCATATTTTAACCAGTGCTTATAATAAGAGCATCCATTGCTTCTTTATATTTGAATATCAAATAAATTTACATGAAATACACTGAAATTATCAAATGTCAAGATACGTTTGAAATTACCGTGCTTCTGTCTGTATCTGGGTCTGCAAATCCTAAGGCTTTGGTGTTGATGCATATACTTATCAGGCCATCAGCAGAAATAAATTAGTAATGGCTGGGTTTGGTTTTACTTTCTGCTCTTATCTTATGTATATTCTGGTGCTTTTTTTAAATTTAAAAAAGGAAGCTCTTGATGTTTACATGTGTTTTCTTCATATATATATATTCAAAAATATGCAATGTATATCTCAGATCTCACATGGAGACCTAGTAATTACATAGCTGTATGTTCAGCATGGGAACTGACATTTGCAAATAAGTGCCTCAAGTGAAATATTTATTGTCAACTCCAGTTAGGTGCAGAAGATACAGGCAAAGACATAACACATTTAATTTAGAGTTACTATTACTTCTAGTTCTGGCCTCTTCGGGTATTGATTATGATATAAAAATTTGGTCGCCACTGGAAGAATCCAAGATTTTTAACAGAAAACTTGCGGATGAGGTAAGAACTTTTCCTCCTTTTTCACACTAATGTTGCATTTTCCAATTCCATAAAAGCCTTTGGTGCAAATTACTGATGTTAAATTAAGAGAGTCATTTAGTGTTCAACGAATTAGATTAAAAAAAAAAAATCTGCCCTTTATAATAGCTAACTTTTATATTGTTAGCAGCACACAGAGATTTAATTATTTTTCTTTAATAAAAAAATGTTGACTGATGAATAATCATATTTTAGTGATTTACATAACATAATTTATTAAAATGTTAGAAGTTTTTCTGTAAGTATTATATTAGGGCAAATTTGGTTGTGGAGTGGCTTGTGCGTTTTTTGTGCAATCTCTTGGACAGCAGGGATACAGTAGACTAGGTTTTTTAAATTATTATTTGTCTGTATTAGTACTATGTATATTTAAAGCAGAAACACACAACCTGTAGCCACTACCTCCCCATCCCCCAGAAAAAAAAACACCAACCCATCCACTTGTGAGTTTTGAACCCTTCCTGTTATTTTAGCAGTAGTAACACTGAGTAAAGTGACACTTCTTTGTATATTGTATGATAGTTTTAATCTATGACGTGTTTTGGAGCCTTTGGGGTTTAGAAATATTGCCAGACATAAATGTGTGCTAAAAGTAATTATTATAATGATGCTTTTGTAGAACTTTCAGAAAATTTGACTGCTGTATGGTTTGTAATTTTACATGGTTTTTTGCTTTTTAGTTTAATCCCTGTATTGAAATACCTATGTAGAGAATAGGAGAGGTTCATAGAAATAAAATAGTTTTCACCATGTTAAGTTTGGCTAAAGCAAGTGTCCAACATACCTAAACTGAATTTTCCATAGAAGGCAAGGTCTAGGGAGAAAGCATTACGTATAGGGAAAGTTCAGTATAGATACAGAACCATATTTAAAATTGAGAGGGGTCTTGACCTTAGTGAAGGGGAGAAGACAGTGCGGATGGGAACAAATCTCTGAATAGAGAAAAAGCATGATAAGCAAGCTGTCAAAAGGGTGTTACTGATGATGCACTGGAGAAATAGGAGGTGAAAGATTTAAAAATGGCCGTCTGCAGTCTTCTCAGTTTGCTTCTTTTAGGGAGTGATCAGCTGCGCAAAGTGCCCAGTAAACAGATGGGAATGTCAGAAAAGAGGCGCTTTGATTTGGCTAGGAGAAGGCCGCTGCAGACATTTGTGAGACCGTGTTCCTCACAAGAGGAACAGGCTTGGCATGAAAATGAAAAAGAAATGCATTATTTTCCTGCCCCACAGCAGCTGATCTGGGAGGAAGGACTGAATAATGGTCAGAACTTGCCTCCACCTGAAGAAATTTTTATGCTTAGTGGTAATGAAAGAACGTAGTCTAAAAGCTGAGAGACAAGCTAAGGTGTGGGATTAGAACTTAATGGGAAAGCAAGAAGGATGGCAAGGAAGTACCACGAGGAAGGAAGGAGGCAAAAGAGCTAAAAGTATTTGTTAGTGAATTTTTTTTCCTTGAAACTGAGACAGTAGGAGCTAGCTCTTTCAGATCATTTAAAGGCAAGCTGTAGGTCTGTTTAGAAAGAGTTACGGAGCTGAAGAATGTTCCTGAACTGGGATAGTGTAATTGCTTGTGTTCCTTGGATTTTCTCTAAAAGTTTCAAGCAGCATGAAGGTAGGAGTTTAGGGTAACCTCATCTCTTTTCCTACCCACATTCTTGGCCAGCGCTGGTGCTAGAACTTCATTCTCTACAGCAGTTGCCATCTGTAACAGCACTTTCTCTCGTCAGTCTTCCTTATTTCATGGAAGATCTCATTTCCAAAAGTTTTTCTCAGTTGCTCATCTCAATATCTGCTATGGATGAGGACAACAGAATGATGATGATCTTAGTAGAATATTCTTTAGATAGACAATTAGATATCTGTAGGCAGTCCACTGTCTAACTTTTCTTACCACATACAATTGGTGTAACTGTATTCAACAGTAATTATTAAAATATCGCTCCCTCATTGTAATTTTGGACTCTGTAAATGCCTTTTGCATAGGAACTGTGTATCTACAAACCCCCATTGATGCAGTACAATATTGTGTTTATTTTTGATGCTGTTTTTTCCCCTTCCCTGCCTCCAGGTTATAACACGTAATGAATTAATGCTGGAAGAGACCAGAAACACTATTACTGTTCCAGCTTCTTTTATGTTACGAATGTTGGCTTCATTGAATCATATAAGAGCAGGTGAGTGACTTCTAAAGAGCTTGTCTGCCGCATTGGTCTATGAAATAGCAGATGGATTGGGGAACCATCAAGATCTTCAGCTGTCTGTGGCTACGCTTGGGGTTGGTGAGAATATCCAAGGGTTGTTCAAGGTTCTCTTAATAAAAGTACTTAGGAATAGCTTCTTTAGTGTGAGACTTGCAACATTTTTGCAGCTGTCATTTTTTACCTCCAAAGAAAGAACGAGAAAAGAGCAAAATATATTTTTAGATATTACCATACTATCCATCCTGAAATAGCTTATTTATTAGTATTAATTAGCTGTTGAAAAATACTCTCTTTACTAAGGAATGTTCTTTAAGGTGACTGCTGTGTGATGGGAAAGCTATTGGGGATGACTGGAATGAGTCGTGAGATAAACTGACTGTCATTGTGGGTTTGGAATTGTCTAGGGGCACAGGAGGGTGTAAAGATACAGGACTGTGGGAAATATTAATGAGGCCGCTGGCAGCTGTTCCTGGGGCAGCAGGTGCTAGGATGTCACAGAATTGTTAAGGTTAGAAAAGACCTTTAAGATCATTAAGTCCAAAATGTCTCTTTGGGGAAGGGGCAGTTCCCTAAGGGCTGAAACTGGTGATAAGGGGTTGCACGGAGGATCGTCATTGGGAACTGGTGTTCCTGGATGTTAGTGCTAATGAAGTTGACCGCAGTGGGTTGATACTGAAGATGCAGGACAATGGAGAGACAGCCTACTGGGTAGGAAGCAAGGAGATGAAGTTTTGGGAGGTTGGTATGATGTATGGGGCAGAAACCTAACAGAACTGTAGATGAAGGTGAAAGTGACTGTAGATATTGAATATGGGGACTCTGGCACCGGCTGAGCAGATCAGTGGCCTTATAGTGATGAGGTAGGAAGGAAGCTCTGCCTGCCAGCAGCTGCTGCTCCTCTTTCACCTCTCGCTGATCTGTGAGAATTAGAGCGCCAGAAGGATGCCACTGTATCCAGCCCAGTGGTATGCCTCGCCCCTGCTGTAACTGAATATTTTTGTTTGCTTTTTTCTTCATTTGTTATGATTTCTTTGGAGTGAAATACTCGAAGAACTGCCCAACACTTGAGTTACAACAGTTTCAGCAAAAATCTGTGTTATGATTTGGGTAGAATATTTCTTACTATGGGTAGAATATTTCTTAACCTGACAATGCATGTTGTTTGAGTGATAGATGTTGAGCCAATCATGTTCCCTCACACTTTTCTGTGTTTGCTTTTCTCTAAACATTTACTACATCAAAAGGTACTTTTTGTGATGTATACAGTGACAGTGATTCCCCAGTTTTCTGGAGTATACAAATTTCTAACTGCAGCTATTCTAGTTTCAGCTCCCCAGAAGAGTGTTTCAATCCCTTGTATTCACCATCTCTTTTTAATATTATGTTTGCATTCACTTTCCAGTGCTGACAGCTAGTCAGCAGCTACAGGGTTTTTCCTTTTATATACAAATTTCACTTTTATGCCTGGAAATCCTTTAGGGCTTTTCTCCTGTTGTTCTCCTTGTGGTAACATTTCTACCCAATCTCTGCTGTCAGTCCCTACAGACTTTCCTCTACCAAATAACCCACAGCCATTGTCCATTGTGTAATAGCCCAGGGAGATAGCATGTTATAAATATTTAACAAAAATTAAAACTTTGGAAGTTCTCTTTACTAAATCTCTGTGTCTTACAGACCGATTGGAAGGTGACAGATCAGAAGGATCTGGTCAGGAGAATGAAAACGAAGATGAAGAGTAACCGGCAGTTGTGTGCAAGCACCTAGACATCAATGGAATTTGTATAAGACATTAATTATATTTTTCCTTACAGAGCTTTAGTGCAATTCTAAGGTATTGCTTTTGGATAACCTAACCTTTTGTTTTTGAATGACTGTGTGCATGACTTTGGGAGAGTGTGCAAGTTAAAATAAGCAAAAATGTTTTTAAAATGTTTTGCCATGTATGAGGGGTGCTAGAAGATGCAAAGTGCAATATTTTCCTTAACCTGCAAATGTGGGAGCTTGGATCAATGTTTTAAAGTAACTTTCATTATAGTAAAAACGTTGGTTCAAATAAATTTCTATACCTGCTGTTTGCATGTTTGTTGCTTTCTAATTAAAAGATTTGGTTGTTTTAAGTAGTTTTGTGTTTTTCCTTTGTGCAACCATTGATTTATCACCTTGTAACTATAACCCCATTACTGCCGTCATTTGCATTCTTTCTTACAATGTTTGTGAAGTGACAAATACAATTATTTCTTACAGCACGGACTGGGATTCTCTAAGACTTTGAGACCCTGTGCCTCTTGGTTCTTGCATTTCCATGGGCAACCCCCACATGCATACGCAAAATTGTCTCTCCATCAGTCTTATTATAGTGCCACTTCACATCCTTCGTGCTTGAATCTGTAGTGCTGGTGAAATAGTTGTGTTTCACCAATAGATCTGTGAGTATGCATTCTTTGCAACAGCAGCAGACACATCTTAATTTCCATTGGATTTAGAATAGAGAAAATGTAGTGCAAAGGAACATGAATTTTAAAATTCCTACTTCCTAGGAGTAATTATTTGAGAAGGAATGCAGTTCTGTCCGTGTAACAGACTCTATCCTTCCTCCATACATTTGTGGATGGCAATGGAGAAGAGGAAGTGAAGGAAGAAAAGCGGAGCAGGGGAAAGAGCGACTTTGCTCAGTGGCTGTTCTTGTTGAGGATGGCAGATGCTGAGAGGCTCCACTGGGGAATTAGAGAATGCCAGAAAGAATTTTAAATCAGGTGGATTGAGGGTACTGGAAGCTTCATTGTCCTGTTATCATTAAAATATACATTCCTCACACAATCTTCACAAACTGCTTACGTCAACAGAAAGAATTCCCCACACTGAATGAAAAAGAACATTGTCACGACGTTCTGATACCCTGATTCACAAGGCAGGCAGGCTGAGAAGACTTGGGGAAGGGGGGGTATAAATCACAGAAACAGAGGGAGATGGGAAAACTAAAACTATTGGAGGAGATGGAGAGATTTATGGGGGAAGAGAAACGGTAATTACATGGCTCAGCTGGCAGTAACAGTGAAGATACTTGGGCAAGGGAAAAATAACGAGAGGGGAGAGGAAAAGTGTAAGGAAATGGATAGGGTGGCTGTTTGTTTTTTTAAAAAAGGAGAAGATAGGAAATTACTGAGGAAGAAGAAAGTATAGAAGCTTTGAAAGTGATCCAGTAGAGTGAATTTAGGAAAGGAGAAAATAACTGGGCGGGGAGAAGGCTTTGGAGGCAGAGGGTGGTGAGAAGAATGGAGGTCTCGGAATACTGGAGCGTTGTGGAGAAGGGGAAACTTCACACCCAGAGGAGGTCAGTGCAAGAGAGGATGGCAAGCATTTGAGAACATAACTACTGTGAACAAGAGAGAGTGGAAGAAGTCAAGGTAAGTTGTTTGTTCGTTTGCCTTTTAAGGTATGGAGTGAAAATAATGGCTGATATGGATATTTGTCTTTTCTGGTGACACAAGGAGGACTAAGTGCCCTTCTTGTTGGAGAAAGGAGCAAAACGTTAGTTTTTCCTCATGACATAACATTTTGGGCAAGCATTTTCAGGCCCGCAAGAAATGAAAGACATTTTACGATTTTGTGGTACACCTATTTGGGGAGGGGGGAACACAGTGGTCTAGAACTATTCAAACCCTGCTGCTCACAGCACTGCACAGAGCAACATTTTTACTATCACATCTAAATTAACCTTGAATTTTTGTAACAGAACAGAGTACTCCTCTCATTAGGTTTTAAAGAACTATACAGTAAATACATATAGTGTGCTTAGTGTGTATATAAAGTAGGGTTGTCTGCTCTACTTTAGCTATTAGGAGTAAGAAGAATAAAGCCATGTTTCTGTTCTGGGTGGCATCTGTTGCAATGGTGGACATCTTCCCCAGCCAGGGGTCCTGAGCAGTTCTGTGAATGAAATACAGTAACACAATGTTTGATGCAGTTGTTAGGTCCTCTGTAGATGACATTTGAGATGTATTTGCTACCAAAAAGAATGACCAGGGTGTTCCTACAGAAGTCTGGCTCTTTTTACTTAGAATTTGTTTTCCAAAGTTAATCATTTCTTTCTCAAGCGTATGGAGAGGATACCCTTTGTCTTCACCAGAGAGATTTTATAAATCATCACTGTGGATGTCTGTCTTTCTAAAAATAAAAGAGCTGCTTCCGCCATTCCTG